GGGGGTAAGTACATTATCAGTCTCGCGCGTTCATCGGCGGGTCGCCTTCAGTGCTGATCCGTGCTTTTTCTTAATGAGATCCCAGCGTTCTTTCAAGGACAGCATCTGCCCCTGTCGCGGTGATACCACCCATGCGCAGTTCTCCTCCAAGCGGAACGCGTCATCCTCTCTCCCTCTCTCTCCATATATCTCTCTCTATCTCTCTTTCTCTAACTACTTGCTCCCATACCATCGTCCGTGCCACGTACTAGCACCCATGCGCTGAATGCGTCGCAATCCCTCTAATCTATCCAATTCTTTCGCCCGCTTCCCGTCACGTGCGCCCCCCCCTTACCCTACGCCCAGTCTCCTCCTCAAGGTCGATCGGCTCTTCAGCATCCGTGCCGTAGTAGCCAGGCGGCGGGGCAGAGTCCTGGCCGAGATCGCACCTCCCGCATGCTAATCTGCCGTCGTGGACATACCCTCTCCCTCCTCATCCTCCCCCTCCCCCTCCCTCCCACGCCTCATCGTCACTATCTTCCCCTATTCTGCTGCTGCTGCCCCACTTCGAGAGTATGCTTCACGTCCTCAGCGTGCGAGCTGCTCGCAGCTGCCACCGCGATGGCAAGGGCCCGCTGGGGCCCCGCTCAACCCCAGGTGCTGCGCCGAAGGGGGGGGGGGGGGGTCCGCGCGCCCCTGCAAGGGGCACTTGAACCGAAACGTATCGAACGATCTCGGAGAGAAAGCCGTGCGTGATGACGACGCTAAAGACGATTTAGGTTTCACATTGTTTTTGTCCGAAGCGCGCGCACAGCGCGGCAATATCTGCAAGCCGCAGGCGCGCCCCGACGGAGCGAAGCCGCATCGCGCAGTCGCGCGTCTGATCCTCATCCTTACCTCGTCCTCCTTACCTCGTCCTCAAACATCTGCTGTCTCAGACTCCACCTCGATTCAACTTCCTCATGAGCTCCCGCTCAACAAGAGCAATGCGATGGCTTGCAACCTTTGCGATGACCACTTGCCGCTAAAAGCTTCACACATCAACCCCCTTCGCACTATCTCTCCTTCCTCATCCCAGCTTCTAGCAATCAAAACAAGCCGCTGCCCATGCTGCAGGAAGAACCGCTAGAATCGTTCTTTTCAAGCTTCCTCTTTTTGGCGCCATCCTGCTCTTTCTCTGCGGGTCTCGTCTTCTTTGCCTCCTCTGCCTTCTCTGGACTGTCGCCGCTGCCGCCTGCTTTCGCCTCCTCGTCCTCTGAGCCCTTCTCTCTCTTTTTCGGAGCCTTTGCCTGATCGCCTGCTTTTGCTTTTGCTTTTCCTTTTGCCTTGCCCTTGGGTTTGCCACGTGTCTTCTCCTCTGGCGGCTTTCCCTCGCCCTTCTCCCCGTCCTCCTCCTCCTCGCCCTTATTCTCCTCAGTCTCGCCCTCACTTGATCCTGCCGGCCTCTTCCTCGCGATTTTTGGCTCGTCGTCTTCGTCCCCACTGCTGCCGCGGTCGCGTTCTGGAGCGTCATCGCTCGAATCATCCACTGCAGCCTTGTCCTCGTCATCGGGTTTGACCACCGTTGTTGCTGGCTTCCTTTTCGGTCCGTCGCCATCTTCATCATCGCTACCGTCTGGGTCGCCGCCCTCGGCGGTTGAAGCAGCTGGCCTCTTGGCAGCGGGCCTCTTCATCACGGCTGCGCCCTTCTTCATCTCTTTGGCGTATTCGGCATCTGCTTTCTCAAACCCCTCCTTGGTGAGTCTTCCCTTGGACACTGACTCGGCCCACTGCCTCATCTTGGACTCGGGATTCACGAAATAATCCTGAAGCGTCAACTGACCGAACATGGAAGCGTTTTTCCAGATCGCCAGGAAGTGTTTCTGCCCCTGATCCCTCGTGTACCGCGTCAAGGTCCAAGTTTCGTCCCCCGTGGAATAAGAGTACAGTGGCTCCTTTTTCTTTTTTTCTCCTTTTGCTTCCCGCCACTCTGTTGCCGAGACGCCCGCTACTGTCCACACAGTGCCGTCCTCCCACTCCGCCTGTACCTTATCCCCATCCTCATCCTCGTAATGCTTCGTCGCGTACTGAGGCGGCTTCTTCGGTCTCACCCTGCACGCAGCCTCCCTTGCCCGAGTGAGGAGGAGGGGCAGGAGGAGGAGGAGGAGGAGGAGAGGGAAGAGGGGAAGGAGGCCCCACCGCCAACCGTCCTGCTTGGCCTTGTCCCACTCGCATGAATACTCGCTGGCGCACTCGAGACTGCGAAGCTCCTGCCCTCCCGTCCGAAGGATGGGGGCGAGGGCGGTTGGCAAACAGGGAGGTGAGTGGAGAGGGACGCAAGCAGAGGATCGTCTATAACCTCTCACTGCCTCATACTCCCATCCTCCTCATCCTTCTCATGCTCATCGTTCTCTCATTCTGATCGTCTCATCCTTCCGATCCCTCCCCATCCTCCTCATCCCTGGCGGCCTCGAGGAAGTGCTCCTTGAACCAGTCGGGCGGCTTGCCTTTGCCCCTGCGCGACGGGGGGGGGGAGTGAGGGGAAGTGCTCCTTGAACCAGTCAGGCGGCGTCTCCTTACCCCTGACTCCTCCTCATCGCCCTCGCCCGCTTTCCCCCCCGCGCCGCCTGACTTTCAACTCCATCTGGCTGATGTGGCGGAGCATCGCTCGGACCCGCCAGCCCCACGTGGGAGCATCCTGGCGATCGGCCCCTCTTTACTCGATCCCCCCTACCCACCGCACCCTCCCTCCCTCTTCCATCCTGCATGCCATCCGCCAGCTATCCAATCCGCCTCCTACTTGCCCTATCACCCCCGCCATCGAGCATCGGGCCTGGCGACAGCCTCTTATTATTTGCTTACTGGCGTCCTCTGCCCAGCTCTCTCGTGTGTCGTCGAGGCGCCAGCGATCCTCCTTCGCCTCAGCCACTGAAACTAAGATATGTTCTAAATTTTTCCTGGCAACCGTGGTCGCAGGAGATATCACTTCACGGATACCCTTAAGCAAGGGCGCTTGCTTCACCAGCTTCTCTGCATCAACGCCCCCCTGCGGCAGGGGGCGGCGGGGAGGGATCGGGGAAGGAGCGGGAGGAGGAGCAGGAGGGGGAGGAGGAGGAGCACGAGGAAGAGCAGGAGCAATGGGAGACACGGGAGGGGGGCAGGGAGGAGGAGGAGGAGGAGGAGGGGGA